TAAGATTTGAAAATTTTTAATAATCTATAATATATCCTAGACAGATAAACCTTCTCCGCTCAGAATCGTTTTTCGTATACAATGATATAATATCATAGGATTCAAATTTAATTCCATCCATTACAGTTACCCACTTGTAACCTACTGTACAACAGAGCGACATCCACGACTTACYCGCCTTTTTTAATGGGTGTGGCTGGCGCAATGCACTTAAGATTTCAATCTTGATGATGTTGTCTCAAAAAAACTAACTTGTGATAGGAAATAGGGAGTTAAAAGCACATGCTTTCAATTATTAGAATAAATTATGTAAAATAATAATAAACAAATAAAAAATAAAAATAAATACAATAATATCATTTTCATTATATCAATACATTCATTAGAATTTACACCATGACAACGAATAAATAGAAGAACTAAATATTATAAGGAAAAAAGACAATATTAATATAGTGATATGATATAAATTAATGACTAATGTTAATCATGTTACAGATTTCATTTTTATCCATTATATTGATGAAAAATTAAATTACTTAATAAACTACTACCTACGTATTACCTATATTAAATGTACATTTTGAAATTGATCTAATTTTTTTAAGGTTTACATCTGAAATTAATTCGTCTATTTTTAATTTATTTTAGAACAAGCCGGTATTTTAATTTGTATGGATATGCAACAACAGCATAAAGTTTACATGACAGATTTGTTACACCCTACTTTAGTTCGTATTGATTGGTTAACAGAAAATGTTTACTTTGTACAAAATTTTAGGGATATTGTTGTATGCTATTTAAAAGCTAAACGTTGTGCCACTATATACAGTGCAAACGTYCATACAACAATTATGGCTTTTGAAATTGATCCTCATTCTGGGTAACGTGTTAATATTTTAAATTAAATATAATACAAAATTATTTACATATAATTTAAATGTATAGAGTGATGTTTTGGTCGGAAACCATATGGGCTGTATTTTCAACACCAACAACCATTATTAGGAAATCTGATTGCAGTGGATACAATGTAAAAACAATCATTCATCAAGGGTTACAATATGTTACTGATTTAGCTATAGATCCAATAAAATATWTGATCTATTGGGTCGATCAAGTTAATTCAACCATCGAGAGAGCTAATTACGACGGAACTAAAATAACTGTGGTGTTCAAYTCGATAGAAGTAAKAAAGTTATTTAAACACCTTGAGTATTGAACTATTTTTGTATACTGCTAGTTATATAAATTTAAATAATTTTTAAATTAGCATTTGCCGGAGAAAATATCATTATATGAAGACAAACTGTTTTGGACCAACCTTGAAACCGGTTTCCCTATATTTAAATGTAAAATTTTTGGTTCTGAAAGTGTCCACTGTGAATCTGTTCCTGTCCAAGTGTTTGCTGCCATCGAGACATTCATGATAAGCCAACAAGCTAAACAAAGAAATGGTACAATGATATCTATTTGTATTTATAACTATTTGTCCAATACTAATTTAAGATGGCATGGTTATTCTCATTGACATTCAAATTATTTTGTTAATGTGGTAATAATGGGACTGATTTTTTATTAAACACTATTTGATTTAAAAAAAAGTAATTTATGGTTATCAGATCTTAAATATTAAAAAAAGGTAATAGAGGGATCCATCCATCTCAACCCCCCCTGTCTGACCGCCAGTTATACTTAAAACAATACAATAATAGTTATAAGGTACTCTAAAAATGTGTTTTTTGAAGTGGAAAATGATAATTAAACYATTTCAAAGAAAAACAAATATTTTTAAAACATTTCAATATTCTAACATTTATTAATATTATGAAAATATGAAACATTCAAAACTAAATAAAACGTTTGAATTGAAGAATAAATAAAATTTACCACACATCCGATCATAATATAATATGCATTAAAATCGCGGGTTACAGCAGATACACAAAAAATAACTTTTTGTACTACCTAAATTATTTTTCATTAATGTCAGTATTTATTTTATCATTTTTAATGATTATTATAATATACTCGTATTTTATATTGAATTTCATAGGGAAATCAATATAATATCATAATAATTAAAAGTTGTATTTGCTGTCATCATTACCAAAAAAGTGGGTAAGTCGTGGATGTCGCTCTGCTGTACAGTCTAGGTGACAAGTGGGTTACTGTAATGGATGGAATTAAATTTGAATCTAATATTATATCATTGTATACGAAAAACGATTCTGAGCGAAGACGGTTCATCTGTCTAGGATATATTATAGATTATTAAAACTTTTCAAATCTTAGTTTAAAAATGAAAATTTTTCATGAATTTCTAGCGTAAAATAATTTGCGAATTTTTGTGATTTTTACGTATGTTGTCAAAATTCAAACTTTGAATGCTTATAAAAAAAAAATTGTGACTGAATTTCTTTTATTTTTCAACTGCTATTGTTACAATGTGTTAGAAGCCTTGTATTAAATTTTCAAGCTTTTCTACCCAACAAATACATTTTTATCGATATTTATAGAAAAAAAAAACAAAAAAGTTGAAAAATTAAAATGTCAGTAAACAGCTTAAAACAAATCTAAATTTTTTGAAAATTGCATGGTGGATAGAATATACTTATATAATCACTTTCTGATCGAACGAGGTACTGAAGTCAAAATCTAAGCACTTTTACTGCCCCATAACTTGATGACAGACACAAAAAAAAATAAAAAATAAAAACACGCATCATGGTAAAATCAATAAATTTATCGCTCCGTTCAGAATCTAAAATAACAATTTTTGTAATAAGCTGAATTTTTAAGCAACTTATATTTTTAAAACACAGCATAATATATTGTAAAATTGTACCATTGTACCGTTTTCWCGCTTAGATAACTAATACTAATTTATTGTTAAGAAAGAAACACACTGTCTATACTCGTTGATGTTTTATGCAATTTTTTTTTTATAATAATATTGTGCAATWTACTCACCATGCGCGAACAACTGCTATGCACAGGTCAATTGTATTGTTTTCAATGTTTATCTTCAGTTTATCAAGTGTTTCAAAAATGTCTTTCTTTGGTCAAAATTAACCCCAAAAACAGTAATAGAGTATTATTATGAAGTTTATTCAGATGTTAAATATATATCAATTGGATGATAAAGTATAGTCTATGTATATGTACATATTTAATAAAGTTTGAAAGTTGGGTTTGGTGAGCAAACAAAAATGCAATATATTTAACAATAAWAGTTTTTGTTTTGTAATTTAAGATTTTAGATAATATCAGGTGGGTAATCAATAAGTTGTTAATTTTATAAGACTTCAATGAAGACATTGGAGCTGTTAAGAAAAAGAAAAAAAACAAACTTATAAATCATACTTAAATTAAAACAAGATTAAAAACTTTATATAATACGTTAATAAATGTATATTTTATAAACGATTTGTYATTATTAATTGTATTTTTGAATTTAAGAAAACTTGTAATAGCACATCAAAAACACACATCATGGTAAAATCATTACATTCATCGCTCCGCTCAGAATCTAAAATTAAATTTAAAAATAGATTTTATGCTAATAACAAATGAAAATCTATAATTTTCAAGATTTAAACTTTTTTTTTCATTTAATACATTTTTTAGGATCAAATGTTTGTATTGATGTTGATTGCGATTTTATTTGTACTTCTGGATCAAAAGGACCGATGTGTGTTTGTGGAGACGGATCTCTAGTTGAACCAGGCAATATTTGTGATGTAATACTATATTTCAATATTTTTTGTTGTATATAAGTAATTGTTATGTTATGTAACTAATCAATATTTATTAATAATTTAAATTTTTCAGGAAACAAGTCATGGAAAATTGCCTGTTTTTAAAGACTTAGACCTCAAAAAAAATATGATTTCAATCTATATTTCAATATTTTTAATAGTAATATTGTTTTTAGTGATGTCATATTATTTTCTATTCTATTCCAAAAATAAATCTTTGAATCAACTAATATCTAGGTAAAAATAGATCATATTTTACTGTTTAATTATCTATATCACATTGAGTTATTAAAGTTGATTATATTGTAGATTATTTCATAAGCCATTAACAACTGTCATCCAAGTAATTGACCAGAAAGAAGATGAAATAAATTCAAGATATAATGTTTATGAGAATCCTATGAACGATGTAAATATTAACAATTATTATATTAATTTAAAATTATTAATTGCAATTTAATATGGATAAAACATTAAACGTATTTTATTTGACAATGAAAATAAAAGACTAAAGAAGCTGAAAACTTTTTAAGTAAAAATTTCTTAAATTTGAATTTGTAGAATTTTTTTGAAGACCAGTACATTTGGGATTGCACTTGGTTAGTTTAATTAATGATTAATACACAGTTAACACTTTTGAATGTTTTGTATTAATTACTAAAACTTAATTTTAAATCAAATATATTAACTAGTTTTCTTAGACCGAAATCTAATGAATTTTTAACAATTTATTTATAAAATATATTATATAAATATAATAATAATAATTTAGATATTATTTTTTTGTCTCATTCAATTGTGTTTTAGAAAGGTGTTTATAATGGAAAGATATTGTTCAATGATAGGTACCTACGATTTTAGTCTGTTTAGTAAATTGAAGACCCAATTACATGTTTCATACCAATGTAATAATATAATACCATACAAACTCCTGTGTTTATAATTGACTCTCTAATTTATTACTTAAAAAGTTTTTATCAGCGTCTACTACTGTGTATTTTTTATAAAAGTTTATGCATTATAATGTATGTATATATKTACCTGTGCTAAAAAATTGTTTAAATGACAATATATTTACATAGGTAATATTTTTAATACATTTGGGATGAAAAAATATTATAAATTATTGGCTTATTTAAAAGTAGTAGATGTTATTTGATTATTCTTTATTTCAGGATAGGTTAACAAAAGATCATGCTTGTGGTAGTGAAATCGTATTGAACTATGATAGTGCACGTTACGTTAATGCTAACAGCTCTGCAGGACCTCGACTTAACTCGTTTTCCGAGTACGAAGAGAATGAGAAAAAAAAACTTATTATGGTTTTATAAGCATAATAAAACTATAAACTTTTTTAAGGATGAATACTTATTTGTTGTTAATTTTTATTTTTATAAATACAATTTTATTTTATTTTTATAATATCCACGGCTGTGATCTACTCAATATACATAATTTAAATTATAATTATAATCAAAACAAAAAAAATTAAACAAGATTTTACATTTTATGTCAGAATTATATAATATATGCATATAKATGTAAATTATTACTGAAATTTATAATTCAATATACCTGTAAATATTTTAGATTTTTGATTTGTTTAGTTCAAAGTTACCCAGTATCTATATATTTTTATAATAATAAATAAAAGT